TGTGTAAGTTGGAAGATTATAAGCAAGCTTGCTCTTCAGAACCCTTTGCGTGTGCCCTCTAAGGTGCGATGGGTGTTCTGTATGCAATTTCACGTCTGGGCGTCAAATTGACTGCGTCCTGCACTTAGTAGAGATCGCTCGCTGATGGAATGATATGCTGTTGTTATCTCAAGCTGTCTCTCAGGAAGCAACTGCTGCATGATGGGAAAATGAATGGAGATTACTTTCATCAACACTCTCATTAACGCTCTTCATTTTTTTTCTTTCTTTTTTTTCTTCAGCACGTAAACAGGCACTAATTTTGCATATGTCTGTCAAACCTACGTTCATTCACTCGCATAGTAGACTTGTAAGACTTAATTTTTTTCTTCCCGGTTTCTTGAGATGAAAGCTCTCGAAGAACTTTTTTGACAGAAATAGGATTAAAAAATATAAATATAACTTTTGCTTTAACATAAATTACCCTTACTTAGACACACAGATCTCATCTGCTGTTGCCTTTTACAAATTGTATAACCTTTTTTATGATCATGAAGACCCAAATTGTTTTTTAAGCCTTACACATGAAATGGTCTCAACAAATGTCAGCTTGTATTACATCAGTGCAGTGATTGACAGTAGATTGCTGCCTTGTAATGAAATCGTTAATAGAGAGTTTGAGAATCTAAATAAATAAATAATCCATTTATAAGTCACTTTATGGTAAAAAATTAAAACCATTTAAAATTTTTATTATGATTTCTATTAGTAATGGTTAAACTTATTGTTTTGCATTTTTATTTATTGTTTTGATTCATTTTTATTGTTTTGATTGTACAATCAAAGTCTAGTGTGGATAAATGTATCCACTTTTTAAAATTAATCATTGAAATGATGTATCAGTTCTTCAGTTCATTTATTTATTTCTCAGTTGATTTTTTTCTTAATTACTCAATTGATTATTGAATGTCACATTTTGGCCCCCATATATGATGTAAAACTGCTGTGGTATGTCTAAATATTTTTTTTTAAAACTCTGACACAGCTAAACTCTTGTGTATAGATACCCTATTTCCCACAGTGTGATAAACTTCACACACAACAATTATATATAAATGTATTTATTATTAATACATCCTTGCATGACTGTGGTGGACTGAAATCAAGGTTGAGCTCTAATTTGAGTGCAGTCCACTCTTGCTGACAGTAGTGGTGTGTGAGTTAGTGGGATGCATAGACTATTGGCAGAGCACTGATAAGATTCAGTGCTGAAGTGGCAGGCGGCTGTGTGCGGGTGAGCTGATACTGTTCAGGATTGTTGACTTGTACTCCATAGACTTATTCACGGCTTTATGACAAACTTTTCAGCTGAGCACCACCTCCTCGTCGCCATCATTTTTACCCCAGCAGATTCGTGCCCTCTGATCCCTTTGTGTGTGTATTTCCACCATTCTGATGATCCAGTCACACTTTATCAGCAAGTTGGTGTTAAGATGTGGTGACACTAGGCTTTTAGCATGCAAAATTGCTTCTGCCCCGACTAAGAACACCAGTGACAGTCAATTTGTGACTTTTACATTCTCTATTGGTCAAAAACATCTTTTGGCTTTTCACAAAAAAAAAAAAAAAACTTTTTTCATGTAATTTTGTTTCTGCCCTGGAAATATCTGAATTTTCTTTCTCCTTTGAGAATTTGAATTACGAAATAAGAGAGTCTAACAGCTGTTCAGTTGAAAGTCGGCCAGGTCCAGGTTGCGTTTATGTTCTTATTGCTTTCCTCTCTGCTGTCCTGTGGTGCCTAAAGCAACATTTGTGCTGTGAAAAGTTGCAGATTTTAATTGAGTTTTCAATTGGTAAAAGATTCTGTTCTGCTGCTTATGAACTCAGCAGATCTTAGCCGTCACAGGCAGCTCAACTGAAACTAGATTACACCGGATTTAAAGTCTATAGCTCTGCAGCACTGGAGGAAGCCCAAGTTTGCTGGTGTGAACAACAAGCATCTCAAATTTGATTGTTTTTCCCAAACTTTTACAAGTAGAGAGATGCACCGATTGGCCAGACAGTGATCGAAATTGGCCAATTTGTCCGGATTGGCCCGGATCGTTGACCGGCCGGTCAGTCTCACGTCTTGCTGATTCCGAGCCGATCCTTTTATTGCCGGTGTTCTGACAAAATCGCCTTCAAAATCGGCAATGAATCGCCTGTGATTTTGAACGCGATTTTGTGTAGCTTGTCAGTGAACTTTGGCTCTGTGTAGTAAATGCCGCTCCATCTGAACGCACGTGCTGGAGATTTACTTCTAATCACAGGAGCGGCTTTACTGATGAGATGCACATGAAAATCGCATTCGATTTTTTGCACAGCTCTAGTGCTACCTATCTTTTTAATTTACCTAGGTAGCACAAATCGATAGCGAAAAATGCTACCTATCAGATTGTGCTACCAGCATCTTATTCATGTGGTTTGAGGCTTTTTAAAATTTCCATACCTACCCCTACCCTAAACTTTCCCTTAAAATAATGTAAATATATTTTTGTTAGCACAATCTGATAGGTAGCATGTTTCATCGGTACACCGGCAATGACGTCACAGCCACGCACACACTCACAGTCGAGTGTAAACGTGTTGTTTCGCGCGAGAATGATTCTAATTTTAATTGCATTCAGTGTAAACGGCGACTGATAATGTATTTATGTCGTGCCAGATGAGACGTGCACAGCCTGAGTGAGTGTGTGAGAGAGACTGCACACACAAAGTAACTCACAGAAATGTATAGATGCATACTGCGTTAGAAAAAAAAAGATATTTACAAAATATGATTTAGGTAAGCAACATTATACGGCCATGATGTTTTCCCGAATATCAATATTAACATGATTGCAATGTGACACTGATTTTATACAATAGTATTTCAGTAAAAAAGAAGTTAAAATTAAGTGACTTTAAATATATTGAAGTGACTTTAAATATTGATTGTTTTTGCTCAATTTGCTGACAAAAATAGTTCCGATCAAAGCCACAGCAGGACTGTTTTGTGTCTCCGAGCAACACACAGTGGTGTTTCATTACTGAATGAATCCACGTTTTTGAATGAATCGAGTGAGTCAATGATTTAGTGGCCCATTCATAAGGACAGTCACTTGCCTCGTTTCTGAATGAATCAGCCGTTTGAATGAGTTGGTTGAATGAATGAATAAATAACTCACTCATTAAAACAGACATTTGCCGCCACCTACTGGGGGTTTAGTCATATTTAAAAGTATCATTGCATTTTTTCAATATTTATTTGTATGTTTAAAAAAATATGTAAAACATTAAAGGCACAATATGTAAATTTTTGCCCCTAGAGGGCGCGTATTCAAAACAAACAAAGAAAAAAAGGCGTAGTTTGATGACGCCGTGACGGAGTGTGGAATTATGGGAGTTGTCGTCTTCATCCTCACAGCTGATGCAATCCAACGGGACTCGGGCAGATATCATGTTTATGAGCTAATGATTTACTAACGTTGTAGTAAGAAGCAGGGTGAGGCTGAAACGAGGCCGCTGAACGAGCGTGACACATGGCTCGAAAGCAGCGGAGCTTTTATTATGCCACAGTCGACCGGTTCCGCTCCTTCCGGTCGTGAGTATGTGGGGTAAAGCAGTGCTGTTTTGTCATTCTAGATACATTTGAAAGTTCTGTTATAATGCTACTCTGTGCGTTTGTCACCTGTCTAAAAAAAACACATAACATATTAAAGCGTCTTTGGTGTTTCCATGTTTTCTACAAAACAAAACCGAGGAAATTGAGGGTGTATGACGTCATTAGCAGGCAACACAATGACACTATAGACACGGTCTGTGTCACTAGTTAAAATTGCTTATTTCTCTGGATTTAAACATTCTTCGAAACATTTGGGATAATGTAAGTACACAAGTCAGCAAAATATATAACACTGTTCTAGTGGTTTTTGGATATTTTAATAAAAAAATCTTACATATTGTGCCTTTAATCTTATAAAATTATTTATGCATTTGAAATTTTGGAGTGTAAATGCATTTATGGCACCTCAGCTTCATCAAACTGTCTGTGTAAATGCATCTAATGCCACTTCAGATGCAGCTTCTGTTTCCTCAGCAGTGGTAAGATAGAGTTTGTTAATACTAATTTCATTTGAATGGTAACAACTCTACATTTTCTTATTATTCTAACTGAATTAATGGAAACAAAGTAAGAATTTGATGTGAAAGATTACACATTTAATAAGGTTAGGGGAAAAATGACCATTTATAAACCTAGTGGGAAATGACATCTGTTTTGTTACATACAGCAACTCATTTTAAGTTAACTATTTCTTCCTCTTTCCAGTCACAGAGCACTTTATTTTGAGAGTTGTTTAAGTGAGAGAAAATCTGTAGCTTAGTCCAGATTGGGGGAATTGTAATGTTTAATTTCTTTTATTATGTAAATAATTTTGCATTGAAATTTGCATAGGTTTTTGTTTGTATATGCTGTCAATTATAGTTCTTAGAAAGAAAATCAGTATCGGCATCGGCAAAAATCGGTATCGGCAGGTCACACTTCCAAAAAAATCGGAAATCGGAATCGGCCAAGAAAATTGCAATCGGTGCATCTCTATTTACAAGACATAATCATATAAATAAAATTTCTGAATCTAATTTGCCTTAAAGCTGAAGTGTGTCATTTCTCCACTTTTAGTACAACCAAATTTCAGAATGCAAAAATAATTGTTTCCAGACATCTTATACTGCACTTCTGCTCCTCGTCTTCTATGTTCATCAAACACGCCCCATCATGCATTGGTTGTGCTGGAACTGAAAGCTGAAAGTGTCATGACATTTACACTCTTTTTGTTTGACTGTGCACAATAAACTGGGGTGGGAGAAAGTATTTTAGCATTTAGACAATTACCTTATTTTAAATCTTTGTGTTATATTTAGATGTTTTATTTTATTTATTGTTTATATTGTTTTCATTTGATTGCACTTCCTAATGATTGTTACATTTTTTCCCAGCATTAACCGTTCAAAGGAATTGTGACGGTCCCCCTCCAGCCCCGCAAAACCGGTCTGTGGCTGATATAGAGGAACTGGCTGCCAGCTATGAGCGTAAACTCATTGAGGTGAGTACTGGAGCTACCAAAGCAAGCAGCACTTGCCCTTTCCTTCTGTAACCTCAATGTCATGTCATGTAAACCAACATTTATAGGGCCCTATGATTTCCGCATTATGGAAAACGCGGACGGAATCACGGAATCATGCCATAAAAATGGAAATTACTGTATAACGCGGAATGTCACATTTGCCAAAATTTGGATGAATAAATCAAAAGTAGGTCAGTACACTTAAATGAAAATGCGATATGGACTAATGTCTGTGAATATTAAGCTGCACATATACTATTTTAATATGAATCTTGCATGTTCTGCATCTCTCTATGTGAATGAATGGTGCAGACACACGGTTTAATTTACTACACGCATACTGAAGTGCACATGACGCTCGCAGTGTATTCAGCCTTTGCCGCTTCAGTATATGAGTACATGAACATAATCTCCAGAGCTGCTCCGAGAGTCATTTATGAGCATTTTACCATTTTGAGAAAATTTTCGTTATACAAAATCGTTTTTACAAAAAGAAACTTAAACGTCTTCACAGCAACCCGTCAAAATAAAAAGTTTGGTTTAACTTGAAGAAACTGTGACAGAACTATATTACTTAATCTAATGATAATACTTAAATTGTGTAAGTTACATGATTTCACTTAATTAGACATGCTTTTGATTAATAACGTTTAATTGAACCGTTAAAACGGAAAAAAAATAACAACGTCAGTGATAACTAGATTTAGATTTCTTGCAGCATTTTGTGTGGGATTTCTATTAAAGGTGAAATGTGTAGATTCAACATTACATACTTTATATGCTGTCTAGGTTAATTTTGAAAGGGACTGACATTTTGAAAGACATCTTGTATTGGTGTAAATGTGCAGTGAGCTCATATTGACTTGTCCAACATCTACAGAAGTGGCTGGACAATATATAATGGAGGATGTAGGAATAATTCACATGTAGTTCTCTATGCTGTAATAACTTCATATTCTGCTTATGTTTTTGGGCAGTATCTTTTAACTTATTTATGTATTTACAGTAGTGTGTATTTTTGAGCATGTCATTTATTTATGGGCTCTTTTGCTTAGCCGTCTGCCTCAGTAGGGTTTTTCAAAAATGGGTGTCAGGGCTGCCTCCTTATAGTTTTAAATTTACATACAGAGCTCTGAATGCTTTAATTAATTTTGGTTGGCAAGCAGGCATCCCTTTTTGCTTCTGCCCAGATATGTAACGGAGTTGCACTTTTTCTCTGGTGACAAATTTAGCATATTCAGTTTCCACAAGAGCAGCAGTGAATATAGACCACATGGAAGTTTTATTACATTTGTGGTGTATTTATGTGGCTAAATTAATATTTTCATTCATAAGTTCTGCTGCTACACAAAGTAAAAGCAATGGGATCTTAACTGCAGTTGTGAGTTATTGCATGAAGTGATATACTGTAAAGACCTACATGTACATCTATAAGGCTGTTTAAATGACTGATTTCACTATCTGTTTCTGCTGTGAGCGTACAGTCGAGTGTACTGGTATGTTTCACGTGTGCCAGAAGCACTGTAAGTGTGTACTTACATCATCTTAAATGCATCAGATGATTTGAGGATGCCATAATTCCTTTGAAGTAACACAAAAGGAGCCTTGCGTCTTTTCTTTCTCTCTCTCTCTCTCTCTCTCTCTCTTTGCGACCCACACACTTCCTCTCCCAGTCTTCCTTCAAATTATCACTGTGGAATACCCTTCCTCTGTCTTGGAAGCTGTTGTAGTACTATCACACACCAGTTAATGGCCCTGTGGGACTTCAGGCACAGAAAGTGTTCAGGGTGCCTGTTTTGCTGGGAGCTCTTGCGCTGTGACCTCAGATGGACTGTGGAAAAAAATGAAACGTACTGCAGGAGGTAGTTTGACATACATGCAAGCAAGTTCCTAAAAACATTTCTAATACGAAGTATAAATGCGTTTAATAATGATCTGTTACTATATTATCGTTTACATACGAATAACCAACTTTGCAAGGTTGATGAGTTCTTCTTAAAGTTTAATTTATAGTAGTGCAAGTAAGCCTGCTAAAATGAGAGCGATTACATCAAATTGCAATTTAAGCTTCAGGATAAGGGGATATTTCTCAGCTTTGGCATAGAACAGGGACAAACAATGCATTGAATTTGTTGGACTGAGATGTTTGAAAGGTTTTTAGAAAAACAAGCTGGCCTATATCCTGTATTTCCAAGATCAGGAAGAAAGACGCTCATGAACTCTCTAGAAATGGGCCCTAAGAAAAGAAAGCCACTATACATTTGTAGACAAAGCACAATAGAGGCAAACTCTGACAAATTAAAAGCATAGTCCACACAAAAATGTCATCATTTACCCTCATGTCGTTCCAAACCTGTATGCATTTCTTTCTTCTGCTGAACACAAAAAGAGAAAAATGTTGCTAACCAAACAGTTTAGGTTCCCATTGACTTGAACAGCGAAAGCAAAATTCTTTAGTACTGTGACCCAGGCCCGGATTGGCTAATCGGGAGCACTGGGAGAATTCCCAGTGGGCCGGTCTGTTTTTTGGCCGCGAGGGCCGGTGTGTTGTCATGCTACTGGGTTGAAATATGCTGCCTGCACTCATAGCAGCCCTACTCTTTTTATTTGTTATTTTCTCACAGCCCATATTATTAATTTCACCAGACCATAATAATAACAAATTTTACAAAATCAGTTTGGGCGAATGCAACTTATTGATCATGAGCCCAACATTTAGCAAGGCAGGAAAACATTCAGTCTACCTGAACAAAAACATATTTCATTGTAAGTTAATGCTGTTAAATAGAAAGAGAAAAAAATACATTGAAAAAAAAAAAAACTAGTGTAGGCTATTCTTAAACTTGGACCTCATTATATTGAAGTACTAATCCAAGCACCAGAAGCAACCTACACTCTAAGTGTTCTGTCATTGAAAAGTATGCATTTTTAATTATTCATACACAGGCTATGTGGTTGAAACAATATTTTAGTTCAAAACTTTAAGTGCCATTGTTTAAAAAAATGCTTTATTGACTGACGTTTCATAGACCTTCAGTTGTTATGCTTTCAAATTCCATTCCATTTGTAATTTCACAGTATTTTCACCTCATAAATTACTATACCCTTGTAAAGTCACAATTCTATAATGGTAAAATTTACCTACTTTTACACTGTTGCCACGGGTTATAAAGCAAATTAGCGGTTCTAAATTCACATTAAACCACAGTTTCATGGGTTTTTTGCTTTAATTTATTTTTGGTTTTGTGCTGGTGTTGGTATATTTTGCATGCTAGTGATAGGAATCGATCCCTTGACGTGATTGGTTATTGGTTTGTGACGTAGCAAACCGAGGGCTGTTTCAAACCGTATTTCTGGGTCAGCCTTTGGGAAACTACAGTTTTAAGGAGAAAATACTCAGCAATGGTGTTGATTAATAGATTGGCTCATGGTTTGTCTTAAGGCATATTAAAAACACCATATAGACAAATAAACAACATAAAAAACTTGATTTTCACTACAGGGGGACTTTAAAGAATAAACACTTATTTTCTACAAGAATAAACATTATTTTCTTAAAGAATAAAAGATTAAGAATCACAATTAGCCCTTATTTTCCATTTCTGAAGTTAATTGTCAACCCTAATGATGTAATTATCTTTTGACTCCCCTGACAGTGGCACCTTGCTCAAAAAAACAAAAACCTCAGTTGTAGGAGATATGCGAGCGAATAATAGATTTAAAAAAAAAAGAAAAAAGTGGGCCTGTCTAAGGCATGAAACTCCAGGGCTGAAAATGAGTCCCACTCCGGCCCTGCTGTGACCTATAACTCTAATAACTTTAGTGCTATGGATTCATTACCAAGAAGTCTTGAGACAGAAATTACAGTTCTTAGCATAAATTGTGAGAAGTTCATAATTAAGTGTAATTTTTTAAAAATGCTTAAGGTTGTAATTTTTTTCAGCCATATCAGTTTTTGACATCGTCATAATACTAGTAGAAAAGAAAATAACATGTTGTAGTTTCCATTCTCCAGAAATTTACCCAACTATAACGACTTCCGCTTCAGAGAACCTTGGAAATGTGAAAAAGGTCCATACAAAGGCAAGAGGAACTAAGAAGTACTAAGAGGAATCTTAAAATATTTTTAACAAAAAAAAAATTCTCATTTACTACATTTAAGCTAAAACCCCGGCCCTCCACAGTCGATGGCAAGCTCTCATTCATTTTTGCAATGCTTATATCTCAAAATCCAATCAACAACTGATATATAGAACCAACCGCTCTATGATTTTGCTTTTTAAGTATTCTGTTACACTCAGATGTATGTCACAATGTGGAAGAAAATATCTGTCACTTCTTTCGTTTCATGCCGACTTCAAGAAAACCATTAAGAAGAAAATTGAGAGTGTTTGGAGTGTCCAGCCTCAACTGTTCTTTTTCTCCATGGCTCAACAATTTTGAATTGAAAACCAGTGATGAATACAATGATCCTCACCTCTTGGAGGTCCTTTGAAGTCTGAAGAACTGTTCTGTTTCGAGCAGGAAAGGTCCTAGTAATGGTGAGAGCTGCTGAAAATCTCTTTGATCTGAGTCTTTAATAGGGATGTGATGTATGATTACTGCAGGGTTAGCATGATTACTGAACCTTTGGTCTTCACACCTGAAGGTCTCTTACAGTTGCTTCACCACTCCAGGTGAGTACAGGCTAATGACTCCAGTCAGGTGGTTAGTGATTAAAGGACTGTGTGAATTTCAACCAGTGTCACGTCAGGCAGTCAAAGCCATTACATTGAAGTCGCTTCACTGTTCCACTGGCTCACATGGTTCAAGCAGATCTGCTTGTTTTTCACTTGCTCGCTCTCTCTTTCTCATTCTTTATGCATTTGATTCTCACTCATGCTTTGTTTGTGGTTTTATTTTTGGAAGCTGATGGCATTGATGGAAAATGATGGCATTTTAGAACACCGTGTGGCACATTAATAATTAAGTAATTTGTCATTAGGGCTTGGCGATTATAGTTAAAAATGCTTATAGTTACATATATTTGTAAAAGGTTTTTTTTTTTTTTTTTCAATCAGAGGAAACCAATTCAGTAATTATACTATTCTGAATGTGCAGTAATAAAGAAATGGCTGTCCGATCGTAGCCCTTGCCTTTGTATGGACCTTTTTCACATTTCCAATGTTCTCGGAGGCGGAAGTTGTTATAAAATCCACAATAGCCTTTCTATGACTTGCCAAAAGAGGATAAAATATTGAGAGATTGATTATGTTGGTCAGATGAGAGAAAGATATCAAATTTGTCATCATTCCCTCAGCTGTTGTATTAGAAACATTTGACATTAAATTGAGAAAACACAAAGCATAGTATTATACATTTACATTAAATTAAAAAATAATAAAAATATAAAACACTGTTTTCTAAATTTACAACATTGGTAACTATGGAAAAACATAATCACAGTTTGTGAAAAAGGTCCATAGTCATTTAGCCAGTTCTAAGTACTGACATGTGGTTGGATAGAGTGGGACAGGGGTGGATGTGCCTCTCAGGGTCTTTTATTTCAAATGCAAATTAAAAGGGATTAATGTGTCCATGTGGTGTGGCGTCCTTGAGTGGTGGTGGAACTAAAGGTTGTGCCATGCTGAGTGCAGTAGGTCCAGAGACACTGGCCCAGGAGGTCATTGCTATGGAGGTGTTATGTCTGTTAAGTGGCCACCTGTGTCCATCCACGGGGGAGACCAGACTCAAGAACTTCATAGCTGTGACCTACCTCGTAGCACCACCTGCTCACATTATACCGTCTGGATTTGGGACTGTAGGTCAGTCATGACATTGACTATATGATGAAAATCACATTGGGAATAATATAGTACATTGATGTTTTGTTGGCAAAGTTCTCTGCACTGGTAAATGCATCTGATTCTGTCACTAGGCAGACTTCACTTAAAGTACAGACTTCACTCAATGTAGGCTGGGAGACCTTTTTTTTGCTCTGGTGTTAATGTTGTTGTTCAAATTTGGATGCTATGTGCCATGGCTGGCATTTAGACATGATATATGTAAAGTACTAGCAATCAGACATTGTGATGTGATCAAACCAAATTGCTTCCATTATAATCAACATGTCTACACTTTAAGCTCCTGACACACTCCAGAGCTACATTATTATTTTTGTCCATCTGAATTTTTATTTTATTGTGTATCTGGTCTTTGGTCTTGTAATTTAAATTGTCTTTGGTTCTAACCATATTATTATTTAAATATATATACATACATAAGCACTATAATATACTATCAAAAGTTTGGAGTTGGTAAGATCTGTTTAATGTTTTTAAAAGAAGTCTGGTGCGCTCACCAAGGCTATATTTAATCAAAAATACAGTAAAACAATAATATTGTGAAATATTATTACAATTTAAAATAATGTTTTTCTATTTTAATATAATAATTATAATATTTTAAAATGTCTTTTATTCCTGTGATGGCAAAGCTTAATTTTCAGTAGCCATTTACTTGGTTTGATGTACTTTGTGTAATGAACTCCAGTATCAAATGATGATAATGATCATTCTCTCAACAGATTTTAAAGCTCAAATCTCCTTATACTCTCAAGTTCTTTTATTCTGGCTTTGTCCTATTGGTTTTTCCATTCTTGTTTTATCCCGCTGCATTTTTACCCATCAGTTTGCATCTTCTTTTGCCAGGCCGAACTCTCCCTCTGTCAGCGAGTGTTTGCCTGGGGAAGAAAGTGATAGCAGCACATTCACTGTCACACTTATCCCCCTTCCTCCATCTCTACACCCGCCCCAGTCCCTCGCTCTCCCTCTGACACTTCGAGTCTGTTTGTGTTTGCTAAGCCTGTCTTCTAAGCTCACTTCTCAGACTTGTTTCACATCCAATTACGGGCATTAGAGCTGCAGCGGGCCACGCTCCCCCATCCCCGTTCTGCTTTGACCAAATCTTTTTCATTCAGGACACCTGGCTCAGCACTCGTTCCCTGACAGCCATGCAGACGAGCTGTCAGCAGCACCTGCTTCTGAAAGCAGCCCTGCTCCAAAATGCTAGCAACAGCTTTACCTCAGAAGACCAGAGACCTGTAATATAACATGCCGGTTTTGGGATTTTTTTTTTCTTTTCGGTCTCACGTAATCCCAAGACCCATTGGATGACTTGAAGCTTCCCACACACAAAGCATTGAATTTGAATCCAAAAGAAGCCTTGCTGTCTCGCTGCTGTTAGCCAATGACTATGTATGAAGGTTCCCCCTGGTTTCAGACAGGCTTCCAGAGCACCTTCATGTCTAATGATCTAAAGCAAATTCAAGTTTGAGCTTTGGAGATAGCCAAGTGAATATAAAAAAAAAAAAGTAAAAAAAAAAAAATTATATACCTTTATAAATAAATTTGCTGCTTTCATCCATTCCTTCAAATTACTTTTTTATGATTTTCACCAGCTGCATGCAAAGGATTGGGGAATGTAAATACATCTTTGGTGCCTTCAAAATCTGACCAGGCTAAATAGACCGGATATGATACAAATATTGGATTTGGGTTTGCTGTCTCCTGCTGTACCATTGTATACTGCCTGCGAGTTTTTCATAGTTCACACAGCCATCTTGTTTAATTTGGTATTTAGGATTGGGAACCAAGAACCGGTTTCTTATTCAGACATCTAATATAAATATAATAGTCTTTCGAGTTGGTTATTTTAAGTGAATGACCAAACAAATGAATGTATGAAGGTTCCCCCTGGTTTCAGACAGGCTTCCAGAGCACCTTCATGTCTAATGATCTAAAGCAAATTCAAGTTTGAGCTTTGGAGATAGCCAAGTGAATATAAAAAAAAAATTTCAGTAGAAATGGAGTAATAAGTAAAAAAAAAAAATATATAAACCTTTATAAATAAATTTGCTGCTTTCATCCATTCCTTCAAATTACTTTTTTATGATTTTCACCAGCTGCATGCAAAGGATTGGGGAATGTAAATACATCTTTGCTGCCTTCAAAATCTGACCAGGCTAAATAGACAGGATATGATACAAATATTGGATTTGGGTTTGCTGTCTCCTGCTGTACCATTGTATACTGCCTGCGAGTTTTTCATAGTTCACACAGCCATCTTGTTTAATTTGGTATTTAGGATTGGGAACCAAGAACCGGTTTCTTATTCAGACATCTAATATAAATATAATAGTCTTTCGAGTTGGTTATTTTAAGTGAATGACCAAACAAATGACCTTTATGACACTCTTATTTTTTGCAGTTTTATGAACCAAACCCATTAATTGTTTTAGTATTGTATTTAATAAGTAACTATTTATTATTTAAACTATTTATCAAATTATCTCTATTATTTATTATTTTTATTTATTTATATATTTTAATATATTCTATGTATTTTAACAAGCCTTAAATGCAATCCTATATATATATATATATATATATATTGGATTGCATTTAAGGCATATATTGCATTTATGTTGCCTATAAAAGAATCGTTAATGGAATCATTAAAAGGAATCAGAACCTGTCCTTTTCATTTTGTATTAATTTTGTTGGTGGTTTAAATCCATTTGAATAATTTGAAGTTTATTTTATTCAAAGGCGAAAGCAACTGGCAAACACATCAGTCTCAAAATATATCCTTCTCTCTCGTTGTGCATCTAAAAAATGAAAAATCAAAGCCTCTAACTCTCCTCTCATTAATATGCTCCCATCTATTTGGGATACTGCTTATGAGCGTGTTATGATAACACACACATGTGTTTCATCCTTCTTGACATTTATTCAGTTTCACCTTGGCTTATTTCAATGATACTGAGCTTGTGTGGTGTTTGTGTTCCGCACAATTGTTTTCATTTCCTTCATGGACATAATGACTAGGGATAATTGTGGAATACAGTGCTCTTGATATCTGCACTGGAGCACTAGGGCGGCCCGTAATTACAATGAGCGAATATAGATACAGTTACACACTCGGATTCCTGCTAAGGCCCAGTAATGAGGTTTGATACCTTGTCTGAAGTGCGTGAACCTGTCGCCTGTTTAGATAAATCCAAAGTGCTAACACCCGGCATGGCAGGTCGGAAAATTCAGCCAGCGAGCTGGAAGGACGCAGCCAGCTTATTGCTTACTGAACAACAAACTGATTAGCTCGATTCCTAGCAGAGAATTAATTGGGTTCCTTGACGCTTAAAATTAATTTCCATTTTTTAATGTCCTGTTCGAAAGCTGGGCCACAGATAAATAAATGTGATGAATGAGAATACTACGAGCAGTGTGCCATGCGGGGCCGCGGCGAGATGAATGAATCCTGAAACCGTGGATGGTCTCACAGGGTGTGTATCGTTCTGGGTGTGTAAATATGGCAGAAGTGGCATAATTTCCCCTGTTTGTATCCAGCTTGATGGTTAATCACTCTTTTGGCATGGTGTTGTGTATGTTTGTGCTTGCTTGATTGTTGTACGTGCTTGTGTTTCAGTACCCGCTATCGCTTTCATGACGAGATGTTTATAGTTCTCTTGTAAAATGTGTTTTGAAGCTTGACGCTCTTTTAACATGTTGAAAGGGTCACTGTTTTTGAAGTTGTCACACAAGCTACTAAAAAAAGACTTGAAGAAATTGATTTTATGCTGTGAAACAGCTAGGTGCTATATAAAGCACAACATTAGGCAGTGAAGTAGCCAGATAGAGGACCGTGTCTGACAATCAATTACAAAAGTTTTGAAGCTATTTCAAACTGCTTTGTGAGATTCTTTGAGACTGCTACCCACTCGTTCAGCGCTGTTTAAAATATAAATTTTTTTTTTGGAATGCCTAAGCACCATGTCTGCATCAGGTGCAATGTGATGTATTTTTAGTTTGAAGTAATGCTGCTTAGAACTTGGTACTATGGAACTACTGTATGTACTGATGAACACACAACAAATGTAAAGTTAATAATCACCCACTTTCACCGTTTGCTTAATGGCATTAAATACATGTAAAATATAAATATAAAATGTCAAATATGCTAAATAAATATTTTGTAAGATACCATGCATAAGAGGTTAGAAATTAAAATGTTTAAAAAAATTTATAAAACCCTGTTTGTATAAAATATACAATATGTAAAAAGTTTTTGTTTAGTACTGCATACATAAGGGAGAAATTAAAATGCAATAAAAATTAAAGTAAAATATAAAACATGCTAAATTAATGTGTTTGTTAGATGCCATGCATAAATAAGTACTAGAAATGAAAATGATAACAACTATTATAAATTGTAAAAAATAAAAATGTATAAAATATGCAAAATAAATGTTTGAGAAAAATACCATGCTTAAATTAGAGATTTAAGAAAAAATATATTTAAAAAAATGATATAGAAATTGTGCATTATTTTTTCAACTTGAATGCAATACATGTCATAATAACAAATGTCTAACTCTGAAATACTATCCTTGGTGTACTTGGAGACAGCATTAATGCAACATAATTTGTCTTTTATGTCTTTTCACAAAAAATTGAAACAAATGTTATGTGGAGCAGGATTTTGGACCAGTGAGAGTCAGAATAGAAACCAAGCAACTGACAAAATGTCAGGACAAAAAAAAAAAAAATCCCATTTATATACATGCGACTTAACATCATTTGCATCTGGTTAGGATGCACTGTACAGGTTTATCAAGACGGTTAATTGATGTTAGTTTAATTTTGGTTGTATTAACATATGTAAATAGAGTATCCTAAAACACAAAATTTACTTTATATTTCTTTTTTTTTTCTTTTGGGTCATCCTTTTCCAAAAATGCATTTGAATTTGCAGTCTTACGGCATTCACATTCACTTTTAAGGTCAGGATTTTGCATTAATCATTTTTTTTGACTCATTCATGCCTGTTTTTCTGGCCAGGTGTAGCCTTGCAACCAGGACAAACACATTAACATATGTAAATAGAGTATCCTAAAACACAAAATTTACTTTATATTTCTTTTTTTTTTCTTTTGGGTCCATCCTTTTCCAAAAATGCATTTGAATTTGCAGTCTTACGGCATTCACATTCACTTTTAAGGTCAGGATTTTGCATTAATCATTTTTTTTGACTCATTCATGCCTGTTTTTCTGGCCAGGTGTAGCCTTGCAACCAGGACAAACATGTCAAAAAGTGACATGATGCGTCTGTCAGGCAAAACGCCGCTAACCCAAATATACCCTGACATATGATTTCCATAAACAAATGAATGCAAGTTCTGAATAGCAGACTGGAGTCTGCCTCCATGTCTGTGTCACTTACTCTAAGTGACAGCTGACGGTTCGCCGGGCAGGTGTGGGACTCTCTGTAACGAGCAGTTAACACTCACTGGCTGAACGCTTTCACACCTGAGAGTCAAAACCAAGCTAACTCATATTCACATGCCTTAAAGAAATGTCACATACTACAACCTGCTTCACGACTAGTGCTTTTTAAACAGCCTATTTCAGTGGGAGTTTGATGCGAGTTTGTCAATGTGTTTTTTTTTAGGTGGCTGAGATGCACGGAGAGCTGATAGAGTTTAATGAGAGGCTGTACTGCTCCCTCATGGCCAAAGACAACCTGATCGGACAGATGAGACAGGAACTCATCGACCTGCGCGGCCCGGTAAGCACATGCAAGCACACACACTCCTCTCTGTGGGTATGTGAAACCGTACGTTCATTGAGTGGTTGTTCTCTCTTCTCTATCTCTGCAGTCCAGGCTCTCTGGGCAGATTGCTGTCTGCTTCCATAGGTCTGCCCCCTCTTCCATCTTTAATTGTCAGTCTGTGCTAGCCTTCCCGTTTTTCAAATGCACACATTAACCTAGCTAGATAAACAAGGGCATACTACAGATCTTTTTTTTCTTTTTTTTGCATTTTAGATAGAGCTATTTTAGAATAAAATAAAACATTTCTTGTGGTTTTAGAATGACATCAAGTTGACAAAATGATGATTAGTTCTTTTAAAAGGAGTTTTCACTCTTTCTTAACTCTTGGCCAAAATGAAAATTTGATTAAATTCTGATTCTGATTCACAAGTTCTTGGTTGTATATTTTGTATTTTGTATATTTACATGTATATTTTTTTAAGGAAACAAATGTCTTCTAACTAAAACTGTAAACTATACAGGGAACCCTGTCAGTTGGTACAATCAAATTTAAGGTTATAATTAACAACAGACTTCAAACTATAGCTCTCAAAAACGTTTACATTGCACATAAGGCAGTTTTTATATTTAATGATATAATTATGTTTACACTCCAGTATGTTGTTGAAATATAAAAATTTAATGTTGGCTGTCATAAAAACGTGATTTATTCAAACATTAAATAATGAAGACATTACTAACATGCTCCGATCAGGATTTTTGCAGCCGATACTGAGTACCAATTTCTTGTCATGGTGATCGGCTGACACTGATGCCGATTCTGATTCTTCAAGCTTTATATAGACAGTTTCATCGGGCGCACGCGCCTGGCCCGAAGTTAACTTCCAGTCTGTGTTTGTTTATGAGTCTGGCTATGGCACCGGCTACAAACGCAGTTAAGGTGATGAGGAGACTGAAGTTGGGCTCAGGTGGTTGTGCTGTGGGATGTGTTTCCCATACATCTATTTATTTGTGGCGCTCACCACAATATCAAAACTGACGGATTTTCCAAAAGGCTTGGTTGAATAAACATGAGCACGTACTGCACATTTAAAAATCAAAACAAGGTTTTTATTTCACTGTATTTCTGAAGGAAGACTATCTTTAGAAAATTTTCGATGTCATTTTCATTTCATCTTGCATGTTATATGCCTGATAAAGCAGTGTTTGTGAGCTCAGCGCTGCTTTGTGTACAGCTGTTACTGGGGGAAACCTCTGTTTCTGTTCCGTCCTCCACACTGTGACAACTCACAAAAGACTATTTTTAACCAAGCAGCGCGGAGAACCGCTTCAGAAACGTGCCGCGGCTGGCTGATAAACACAAGCACTGACTAGAGCGGCCGCGATCAGCTCCGGAGGCCGTGGAGACGTAACGCGCCGCAGACAGGTGCAGTGAGGCACAGATCAGCTCTAACATCACTGAATCTGCTGTGTAGATGAATCATGCAAAATAGGGATGCACCGATAATGGTATCGGTATCGGGGTCGATACTGAGCTCCTGTACTCGTACTCGTTAAAATGCCCCGATACCAGACGCCGATACCACACAGCATGTGATAAGTGCCAAATTCAGACAAAGAAACACTGACAACAGAACAACAGACAGCAGAATGGAGTTAAGGATGTCTACTACGAAATATATGTACACAACGAATATAACGTTAAACTTTCAGTATTAACGCCTGTATAGCTGATGTGCGCGAGCTGATAAACAAAGCACGCTGAGTGGATTGAGCGCGCGGCGGCGCAGATGCGCGAGCTTGTCGAGTGAATATACCTTTCTCACAGACATCACTGGAAAGTTTGTAGTTCAGTTGGATATGTAAAAACAAGTAAGTAAAACAATGCACAAGTTACTTAACGGTAGGGAGAGAGCAAGAGAGAGAGAGAGAGAGCACGCGCACTTCTGTTGTGTGATCTTTGATGTTCACTCACTTAGCACACGCATCATTTGGATTAAAACATAATTAAGTGTGAAAATAGCCGAAGGATATACAGTCAAACCAAAAACGATTCAGAGACCAGATATAATTTTTTATATATTTTTTTACTAGTGGGTGCAGGACACTTAGGTTCGTTTATGCAAGTGAGGATAGCAAAATAAAGTAAACTGTGACAAATCATACCCAAAAATTCTTCATACAGTGCACAAATTTGGGACCAAAAATTATTCAGACCGAGTCTGGGGGAAAAAACTGAAGTTCAGGTTTGCATGTACCTGGATGACAGCATGCCCAGGAGAATACAGGCAGTCATTAAGACTAAGGGTTGCCCGACAAAGTATTGATAGTTGTGTAACTACTGTCATACTAACAGCTGTCTGAATAATTTTTGGTTGATTGTAATCTATTACATACCTTTCTATCAAAGTTATCTAACATTATCAAGCTGAATTTGTTCTGACACAATTTAACTCTGAGTTATTGTTATATTTTATTACCATTTTCTAAACTATAGCAAATAAACTGTGATAATGTGAGAAATGTTGAAGGTGAAGAATAAATTTTGGTTTGACTATCTATTTGATAAATGAAGTTAACCAACTAACATTATACATACTCTTTTGGTTTCTGTACCCAATATTTTTAAAATGTACAAATGCAATAAAAATATTGGTATCGGTACTCGGTATCGGCAAGTACCAAAAATAAAAGTGTCGGTATCGGGCAAGTACTGGAAAAAGTGGTATCGGTGCATCCCTAATGCAAAACATACACGACAAACAGCAAATTTTTCATTGTTTCTCAAAACGTCATAGCATTTCCACACCAGCGATGACATGACTGCGGCGCCAAATCATTTATGTCCCCACGCATCATGTACGTCGTCACGCGTTGACGTCATCAAATTGCGATCAGCTCCTGAGATCGGCCAAGTTGATGAGTACCGATCGAGTCATAAAATATGATTATCGGCTGATACCGATCTCCGGCCGATCGATCGGAGCATTCCTACTAACAGGTTAATTAAACATATAATGAATATCTAAAATATTGTATATATCAAAATGGTTCTCTAGAGTTTTTTTTCCCCTAGGGTTTTTTTTCTTTCACGCATCAACAGAAAACAGCACAGATTAAAAGATTGATTTTCAGATTTAAAGGGATAGTTCACCCAAAAATGAAAATTCTGTCTTTTCCCTAGGGTTTTTTTTCTTTCACGCATCAACAGAAAACAGCACAGATTAAAAGATTGATTTTTGAGATTTAAAGGGATAGTTCACCCAAAAATGAAAATTCTGTCATTAATTACTCACCCTCATGTCGTTCCAAACCCATAAGATCTTTGTTCATCTTCGGAACACAAATTAAGATATTTTTGATGAAATCCGAGAGCTTTCTGTCCCTGCATAGACAGCAACGTAACTACCACATTCAAGGCCCTGAAGGGAAGTAAGGACATTGATAAAATAGTCCATGTGACATCAGTGGTTCAACCATAATGTTATGAAGCTACGAGAATACTTTTTGTGCACAAAGAAGACAAAAATAATGACTTTATTCAACAATTTTTTTTCTCTTCCGTGTTGCATTCACAAGAGTACCACGACGTATGCGTGTGCATTCCTCTGCTTTACAAGGAATGCCTTGTCAGAACGCCGGCTCCTGCATCAGCAGCTTCATCACACGCATGCGTCGTGGTACTCTCGTGAATGCAACACGAAGATAAGAAACTGTTGAATAAAGTCGTTATTTTTGTTTTCTTTGGGTGAGTAAATAATGACAGAATTTTCATTTCATTTTAAGAATCGATATTGGTCCATCAAAATAAAGGTCGATTAAGATCTGTTATTCAGTATTGTCAGCCCAGCCCTACTGCTCACCCTCTACATCTATATGCTGTTGTTATATTTGTTGGACACAAAATTGCTGATGAATCACTTCACTGCTCTTTCCAAACAACAATATTGAGAGAGCTTTCAAGCTTCAAAAAAGGGCGTAAACACCCACTATTATATTATGTTATGTTATGTTATATTATTATATTATTTGCAATATGCACTTCCAAGTCTTCTGAAGCCAAGCTTTGTGTGAAAAACAGAACAGATTATTTATTTTTAATTTCAATGAGATTTAAGAGCTTTGGCAGGGGAAAATGTTCAGTGAATAACAATTAAATTTTTTTTTCCTTTCACAAAGCTTTTGTTTTTTGGATGAAGTGTCCATTTAATTTGACCAGTCTGTCTCTAGTGGCACACTCGGTCACAGTGTGCTCTTTTCTGTTCACTGCTTATCTGTTGGCCACTGATTACTTTTTGATACATCTGACGGCAGTGGCTTTGAACCATGGCCTTCTGTAACTGTGCTGAACTGTATATGGTGGATGGTCTAGCCTCCATAGCTCATGTGCCCGTTCCTCTCTGGTGCCACTGGCTGCCAAGATGCAGTAGCCTGTGACCCCTGTAAATGCTGACATTACCACAGTTTCACCACGAGATAAGATGCACACTTAAATAGGATTAGTGCGTTGTTCCTGGTTGGGCTTGAGTGTTTTCAGGAATGAGGGCTAAATGTGCAGTCATTGATTAATAGGTTATCTGAGTAGCACAGTAATTTTCCATCAGCATTACAGTACACTAAAATAGCTTTGTGATTTTATATTTTACTAAATTTGTTTAGGGCAAGTGGTTTTATCAAAGTTGTATATACATTTATAAGTTATATAAAATTTGAGGTTGATAAGTAAAAACATTTTTGAAAAATGTCTTTTTTTTTTTAAATCAAGTTTATCAAGGATGCATTTATTTGATCAAAAATACAATAGATAGAGTAAATCATTTTGAAATAATATTACAATTTAAAATAACTTTTCTATTTTAATATATTTCAAAATGTAATTTATTCCTTTGATGGCAAAGCTGAATTTTCAGCAGCCATTGCTCCAATCTTCATTGTCACACGATCCTTCAGAAATCATTCTAATATGATGATTTGATGCTCAGTTAACATTTCTCGTTGTTATCAATGTAGAAAACAGTTGTGCTACTTAATGTTTTTGTGGAAACCTTTTAAATTTTTTTATCATTCTTTGATTAATAGAAAGTTAAAAACAGCAGCATTTATTTAAAATAAAAATATTTTGTAACACAATACATTTTGAATGTCACTTATGATCAATTTAATGCATCTTTGCTGAATAAAATTCTTATTTTCTTAAAAAAAAAAAAAAATCTTACTGACTCCAAACTTCTGAACAGGAGTTTTTTTTACTGCTTGACTAAGACTATTTATTATACTGTATTTGCCTATAATGCAGAAATAATGGATTGTATTTATATCTGTTTTGTTAAGACAAAACTGTTGTTTTTTTGTTTTTTTTACTTTTCACCATTCAATCAATTCCTGATGCATACAGTGAATAAGTGAAACAAGTTGAATGTCTTGTTTCATTCAAAAACATGTTATATAATGAAAGTAAAATGGGTTGCAAATGACAGTTCCAAAATTTGACTTGGGTCCAAATGCATTTTTTTCAGTAAATATTACTGGACTGTCATGCTGTTAGCAGAATGGAAAGTAAACTACAGAATGTAGCTGGTTTGGAAGTTTATGCAGCAGTACAGTGTTAATCAGCAAACTCAGCTGGACACAAAACAAAACGCTCACTATGGCCTCATGCGCTCTACTTTTGGACAGGTGCCAGGGGACCTGAGCCAGACCTCTGACGATCCCAGCCTATCTGACTTCGAGACGTAAGTGGCCTCCTACTCACTGTTCTTTTTATATTTGTATGTATTTATGTTGGAGGTGGTGTACAGCGAGCCTCTTTTGAGAATCAAATCGATGGTATGGAATTCCATAAAGCGATGCCTCCGATCTGACAGAGAAGACTAAGCTAAAAATAGGGAGGTTGAATGCTGCTTCTGTTTTTACATTTAGAGCCTTCATGCACCTCTTCCACACAGCTTTAACCTTTGTACATGAGAAGATGTCAGTCATTAAAAATGGCTGAAGAAAAGGCATACAATGTTAAACTTGTGTGTCAAGTAAAAGGCTGTTTCTTTACAATAATGACGAATGGTGTCAATATCTGTCATTTTTTTCCCTCTGTTTGTTAGTATCTTAGCTACACTAATCTATTGCTAAATTACTCCTCTATTGAGGTCCTCTAACTAGACTTTCCCCATTTGTTTTCTCCTTCCTTTTCTCTCTAAGAACTCAGCGTGCCCTTGTCAACGTGTGGATCCCGTCTGTGTTCCTTCAAGGTCGGGCAGCCAACACCTATCATGTATATCAGGTAGTTCTTTTAATCAGAATTTAATCTGCCGTGTACTCCTGAAAATTAATAATCTTCTCTTAACTACCTTTTTCCTCACAGTATGTAATTGAAATGTCAGCTGGACTGGACGGAAAGTTAGCTGACTTAAGCAAACTTCTAGGAATCATGATTGATTAATTTAACATAACATCAATACTCCCGGTTTCTGTTAGTTAAAAAAAGTAGCTTTGTTGTAATTACAGATGAAATACCCAAAATACCATAGGCTTGTGTGGAGGGAGAGGGAATATTGTGTTGAATAATGTGGGTCATTTGAGTAAAAAAGGTCGAGAACCTCTGTCTTTGACATTTTAAGCTGACAAAATGTAGTTGTTGTTTTTTTAACAGAAAGTTAGCTGACTTAAGCCAAGTCCTTTGACTGGTGGTTCTTAACCAGAGGGTCTCAGCAAACTTTTAAGTGGGATGGCAGGATGATTTACTGTACTCTAATCTTAATGTAAATGCTAAAAAACACATAAAATCTAAACTGAATTCATAGATTTTCCCATCGTCAATAAGTGTTGTTTTTATTGAAGAACATAGCATTCCTAGAAATTTCTGGAATCACAAAATAAATCATGGTTGATTAATTTAATATAATATCAATACTTCCGGTTTCTGTTAAAAAGTAGTCATAATTACATAATTATGTTAATTACATTAATTAATTAATTTGTCATGATTACAGCTGAAATACCATAGCCTATATAGGGGGAGAGGGAATACTGTATAGAACAATGCGAGTCATTTGAGTAAAAAAGGTCAAGAACCACTGCTTGACAGTTTTTATTTTTTGTAAGAATTAATTTTAGAATCGGAACCGAATCGGAAAGTCGAGAATAAGTTTGATCTTTTTGTCATATTACTACTGACTGTTGCAATATTTACAGTTTTATGTGTCAAAATTGACTGTGATGTCACCCATGCATAAACTGCGCTTCTGGATTGTTCAGACAAGTTTTAGTGTTGGCATAGTATTGTACTGATCTGTTAAGCATTATATAAACTAACAATGTTTATTAATGTTAATGGAAATGTACTGTAAAGCGATAGCTATGGTTTATAGTGCGGAAATACACTGTATACATAAATACAGTAAATAGAAAAATACATCTGAAACAGAAGAGTTCAGTGCTTTTTTTGCCTGAATGAGAATTGGTTTTGTAGTTCGGTCACATTTTTTTATTGCATGTATGACTCTGTTAAAATATTTCTCCAAGACAGTTTAAGAAAAAGTGTAAATGTGAGCCAAAATGCTGGGTTAAAAACAACTTGGTGTGCGTCATTTTGGCAACCCAGCACTTGGTCAAAAAGTGTTAGGTTAAATGTTTGACCCATCATGTTTGGCTGTTTTATTTAACTCAACTATTGTTGAAAAATGACTGTGTTCAGTTCAAATTAACCCGAAATGGGAAATTAAATAGAAATGAAAATCTGTGTGATTGAATCACTACAGTAGCAACACAGGAAACAATAATATCAAAAGGTGAAAATCTATTGATAAGCAAGAACATCCGCAAAAGTAAAACTTCGCGTATGTGAGGCAACTCAACAGTTATACAGCTTATACAGTTAAACGAAATAGCTTTTTAAAAGTTAATCATTGAGTAGTTTTAGTTTAAGAAGAAATTTGTCCAGTTATTTAGTTTTCTCTTGTCAATGAACACACTAACGCTTAATCAATCACCTTAAGCGCCATTCCCACTTATTCAGTTCCCGCACACTGAACCGCTTACATTTGAGTGTGACATACATGGTCTCTTTCACGTCCGCATTCCCAACCCAGCATTGTTGGGTTAATGATTATGAACAATTATCAACCTAAATTGGGTCACATTAACGTAGCTTCTTTCTTACCCAACAGTCTCAACTCAGTGTTTGGCTTGAAAAAATAACCCAGAATGTTGACACATAGTTTAAACGGGTTATATGACGATATGACACCTTTGTAATTTGGTTGTTTTGATACGATAGTGACCCATGCACTTTCTGTAACAGTATAGATTACCAAGAGACCCTACTAAGTAGTGCTAGTGCCCCCACATATTAGTTGATTTTGCTGAGTGAATTGGTTTTGACAGTGTTTTTCGATTTTCTCTGAGTGTTCCCTTGAGTCTGGCCTTGAAATGGATCCCTATGGAAACGGATCCATTGTTTTTTCAAGGCATGACTGATGGATAATGCTTTCCATTATTTTAGATTTAACCCAGTAAATCAGGGCTTCTCATTTCCTGATATGATTGATGACTGCAGGTGGTATGCATCCCACGTGAGCACTAATGTCATTGGCATGTTTATATGTATTTTAATATATCTGCATTCTTCTAATCTTTCATGCAGAGAGGCATCCACTAGCGGCTACATGTAGCAAACCTGTGTAATTTTTTAAGAGCCTGTCATGATTTTTCTTACTGTCTAGTAAGCCATTGCTAAAAAAATTAGGTTTCCAATTGCGGTTTTATGATTGGAATAGCACAGGGAAACTAGGTACGAGCCAAATATGGTATTTGTCTATTATAACAATGTATTCTTGAAAAGTAACAGAAGAGTGCAGTTTTAGGGGTGAAGGCAACCCTTACTGCCGTTGTCAGGGGTCTGTTCATTACCCAAGCCTTTGGTGCATAGAAAGAGAGATGGCAGGGAAAAAATGAGGTTGAGTGTGGGTGAGTGCATCAAGGAGCCAAGGTTAACCCCTGCTATTAGATGGCATACATATACTCTCTGTACATACACACTCTGTAAGCATCTTTCTCCATATTTATACATTTATTTATGTCTATATTAATGTAATTACAAATTCTATTCTATTCTATGCTATGCTATGCTATTCTATTCTATTGAATGAATATGCACTGCCATTCAAAAGTTTCTGATCAGCAATATTTTTTTTAATGTTTTTGAAAGAAGTCTCATAAGCTTACCAAGGCTTCATTTAAAATACAGTAAAAATACAGACTGCGCAAAATACAGTAAAATACTGTTAAATATTTCTCAAGTCTTCAGTGTTGCATGATCCTTCAGACGTTGATACATTTTTTCCAGGATTATTTGATGAATCCACAGTTTTATAAATATACTGCCATTCTACATGCCAGTGTTAATTTTGACAGCAAATTTTGATTTAGTTTTAGTCATAGTCTTTTGACTAAAATGCCATTTAGTTTTAGTCATATTTTAGTCATCTGAATTGTAAATTGTAAAAGTGAATTTCACAATCTACAGTAAATTTAGTTGGCTAAAATCTAATGGGTTTAGTTACAGTGCATTTATTAAAGGGGTCATATGATGCGATTTAAATTTTTCCTTTCTCTTTGGAGTGTTACAAGCTCTTGGGTGCATAAAGAAGATCTGTAAAGTTGCAAAGACTAAAGTCTCAAATCCAAAGAGATATTCTTTACAAAAGTTAAGAGCCAACCACGCCTACCTAAAACGGCTCGTTCTAACACGCCCCCACATGTCTACGTCACGATGTGGGAAGATTTGCATAACGCAATAACGCCGCCCAAATGTTCACGCAAAGAAAGAAGGCGTAACTTTTATTTTCGCTGTAGTATTGTTGTTGCCACCGCCGCAATGTCGTGAAGACACTGTGTGTTTCTTTGTGAAAGCGAAACTACTTTGTTTGGCCTTCCAAAAGAGGACGATATCCGCTTCGTAATGCCTAGAGCTGATCCGTGCTGGTCGCTGAGGAAATGCATCAACTTCGCGCTTTGGATCGCTGGATCGGCTTTCACCATGGACAAAGCGGAGTTCAGCCCGGGCTCGTCACATGTGGTTGCCGCAAGCCCGCTGACCGCTCCTTCGTCGAATCCGCCAGCCGTGCCGTTCTCAAGCCCGCCGCCGCTCACTCTAGCCTGCCGTGTGTGACGCTGTGTGTTTCGTTGTGAAAGCGAAACTACTTTGTTTGGCCTTCCAAAAGAGGACACGACTAGAAATCAGTGGTTAAGTTGTATTTACAGCACTGTTCCAGAACAGTTCAACCCAAATATTTCGATGTGTCCAGCGCATTTTATGGAGGACTGTTTCCTGATCCTGGTAGAGTAGACTGCAATGCTGGCTGTTCTGACTCACAGATTGCAAGTACGTTTTCATATTTTAAGGATTTGCCACTGATGATTCAAATGCGAGTTTTGAGCAGTGTAGAGTAGCGCTTGTTGTTTGTCATTTCTCCAATCACAAATGCAGACATGGTTTTATGTTTACGCGACGCGATGAAATTGGATGATTGGAAATTTCCAAACTCATTATATAGGTTTAATATTAAGGTTTTATCATGATATACAACGATTTAACTGCGGTGACACACAACATGCCTTTATGTTAAAATTAAATAAAACCACTTCTCATAAAGAACAAGAACATGGTCTTCTTTTTAATGAAATACCAATAGATATATAGGCTAATTATGCATTCTTTATAGCAACTTGTTTACCATATTCTTCATTCTTTCAAGCAGACATATTTATTTCTATAAATAAATTTAGATTAATCTTTAGGGCTACTAAAGTTTTTCAGTCAAGAGAAGTGCATGATTTTCTGTCTATCTGTTGTTGCTTGATTAACATCAGTGACTCGGACAATAGCAAGTAAATTAGGCTGCTGTCCCTTTAAAACCGAATGCACAGCTGCAATGGATGCAATGTACTGATACACGTTCTCCCTACTGTTTACTTTCACTTAAGACGTAATCAACTGTGTTTACGTGAATACTCGTCAAAATGGACAATTCAACAACAATTTTGTGTGTAATTCTCCGTTCATGTGATGCGAAAGAGTACTCGCGTGCTGTGAGACGCGCTTCCTGTGTGTTCCATATTTTTTTCTGACAGATTTATTAACAGCAATTACAGAACATAACACAATCCATTTGAACTTTTAACAACCGGTTTAAATAAATTTACTTGCACAAACTAGCAAATTTAAAATAAATATTACATGTACACAAAAGTTTGGGGTCAGTAAGATTTTGTAATATTTGT